AGAGTGATATCTCTATCCACACTATCCACTCCAAATCTGTGAGATTTTTAATCTCAAATACATTTTACTCCTCACTTACCGATTGGGATGCGTTCCTACGATTTGGTCATAGAACAAATTGGTCGGTAAGTGAGGAGTTAAGGGATTCCCTGCTCTTGTGCGCTTGTCTATGTTCGGGGAAATTTCCTCGAACATAGAAGAATGCACCAGAGCAGGGAATCCCTCTAATCTATGTTCAGGCAAATGTCCTCAAACATAGACAAACGCAGCAGACCAGGGAATCCCTCTAATTCCCACAAGGGCTCACACTTACCACCCCGCGATAGAGCTGGTCGTAAGTGCGAGCAATCATAAAACAGGTAGGTCGCAAAGCGAGGACCACCTGTACTGTATTCTTTTTGCGCTTTTATGAGAATACCTGTAATATTATTGCACTTTTTACTATTGAATAGAGATTTGACTTGATGTGTCTGTGTGTGTCTCTGTGTGTGTTTGCCGTTGTGACATGTTTTGGCAGGCAGCAATAGTAAGGAGAAGGAAGAGGGCTGAAAAGCCTGAAAAGGGGGAGAAGGAAGAAAGTTTGAGAGCTGTAAAAATAAAAGGAGCAAAAGAAAAGTGATTAAGGAGATGAGAAAGCTGATAATGAAGAAAGTGAATAAGTAGGAGGGCTTAAGAGAGGTGCCCCCATTCAACAAGTGCAGCATGTCTCTTCATTTAGGATGATTAATAAAGATTTGATGAACATTTCAATGTCTTCCTTTAATGTTCCTAAAGCATACATGTAATGCTTTCATTTTGTATTTGTACTTAATAATTTAGGTTTTCAATGGTAACATTTGTTGATCGTTCCTGAACCCATGTTTATTACATTGTGTCTATGGGAAATCAGTTCTCCCTTTATGTACCAGACTTCGGAACCAATTAGTGTAAAGTCGAGAACTACCTGTACGTTTGTATACCTGACACTAAAGTGTTCCTTTAAAGGGTCACTAGAGGCACCCAGACCACTTTAGCTCATTGAAGTGGTCTGGTTGTATTGCGCCAAACGGACGCTAGACGTGCTCACGCTATGCATGATGGGGACGTCCAGTGCCACCCAAAACTGCATAGGAAAGCATTTAAGAATGCTTTCCTATGGGGAAATCCTTTTGCAAGCGTGGCCATTGCTGTGCATGCGTATTTGACATGACATGCATTTGCATTCACAGCACATTCAGTTTGCTGGAATTCTTTATTTGTTAAGAGCTCTTCTGTCTGCCATTATACAAAAAGTGCAGATTTTAGTAGAAATTGGCACTTTTATAAATTAACCTTGTTACAACCCCCAGCTCTTAATCAGACAACCAATCCTGCTACTTCCTGGTTGTTTAGCTCAGTTGAGCTAAACTCAAGTGACAGCAATTGCACAGAGTATCTGCATTTTTAACCCCTTAAGGACACAACATGTGTGACATTTCATAATTCCCTTTTATTCCAGAAGTTTGGTTCTTAAGGGGTTAAAAGACTTCTCATTGAGCTGCATTGGGAAGTCTGTCATCAGACAGACACAGAAAGTCTGGGTGGGTTAGGAATCTGGGCGGGTTAGAAGGGGAAGGCTTGCAAAGGCTTCTGTCAAGAGATCTGCAGTTTTTGCAAACTGTATTTAGATAAACCCAAATGAACAATATGCATAATTAGAAGCATACTTTTTTTAATCTAGGGTATGTCCAATAAATGGTGATTTCTTTTTTATTTGGGCAGTGGGCTGTCCTTGTAATTTTTCTGAAATTTGAAGATCTTAAGGCCTGTTCTTGACTTTATCTTTTCTTAAGTATATCTTTGTTACAATGGGCTCCCAATCAAATTCAGAAGCATTTGTAGTTATTTTCCACAGCAAAGCCTGGAATACATTTTGTTAAGACACATTCCTTAGCTTAGATGAGTTTTATTCCCTAAGACTGTTTGAGAAACTCAGCTAGAGTACAGGCAAATACATATAGCTGTCCTGTGTGGCAGACATTTTTAATAATTCCAGTGAGACATTGTGCAGAAAATATCTAGACATTACTGTGACTTTGCCTATACAGGTGGTCTGTCAGCAAGGGCTGCCTAAAGGAGAGATTCCATCAAAATCTTTTCTGTTCCTGCCACTGAAGTCCCAATGACTAAAACATTTGTCTGAAAGGCTATGTCTTTAAATTGTCTCATTAGGACTATCAGAAATACCCATGTGATGAATAGTCTTCTAGGCTAAATAGATAATAGGAGCATCTATCTAAATGCTTAGTTTTAGCTGTAGCCATTGTCTAGGACAGGAAATGGAAGCCAAATAATGGTTACGCAGAATAAGGCCTAATCCTACCTAGCCAAACTGAGCCAAGGTCAGAGGTCTAAACACACAGCACGCCTGGATAGTGCTTCCATCAGTCTAGACCAAAAAAGGGTTTAAATAAATCCAGATTTAATTATTGGTGCTTAAAATCCAAGTGATTGTTACCTTGTGTGCGCCTCATGGTCTTGAGTGCAGTGCCATCCGAGAGGGCATTCCACTTACTTCTTGTTATATGCCCCTTCCCACGTGAGTTAGCCACAAGCTCCTGGAGGAGCTTGCTTGCCAGCCTCCTGCCCACAGACTATGGGTCCTGCAGGGAAACCTGTAAAAGATTACCGAACTTGACTGACGTTTAGCACTGATTTAATGGAACTGTTTCGGCATAGGACCATGTGCACGGTCGGTCAAATTATGACTTCCAGGAAATTCCTGAACCGATCTGGATGATTTTTGGATATGTTGGTCACCCAGATCAGGGCTATTAGGGAATGTAACTTTTAGGGGGTTTTATGTATTTTTATGGTACTTTTGGGAAACGTGTGTTTTCTGTGCCTGGAGATAATGGAGTTTTGTACAGTCCTTGACTCAATTATCTCCCAGGCACAGAGGAGGGAATAGCTTGTTTTATGTGGGAGTATCCTGGACCTGAGAGCCAATGTAATAGTGTGTATGTTTTCACTGTAATCTAGTCTCAGGTCCAGAGGTGAGTGCCACTTGCATGGAGACCTGCATATAAGGCCAGTTGTGGCTGCCAATAAACAAGTTCCTGCCTACCCTCAACATAGAGTCTCATCTCGTGTGTGTGTGGGGGGTGGGGGGAGACAGCTGTATCTGCTCTGGGGATTGCTATATCACGATACTCCCCTGGGCTATAATCACTATCTCTTGTAAGAGCTACACTGCTGTACCTGCTATACTGTCTTGGAGGAGAGGTCTTCTCACTAGGAGCTGGATCCAGGAATTTGGTCAAGGGTGAGAAGGGATGGCCAACATGATGTCTTAATTAATAAATGGAATGCACACTGGGTGTATGCGTTCTACCATATCTTTGTGTTGCTCTTCTTTATTGTTGCAGAAGCCGGTCTGAGCCCAGCAGAGCATTGACCAGACCATTGACCTCCTGCATGAAAAAAAACAGGTACCTTTCCAAGCCTGTTGGGAGGTCAGGCATTTAGGGGAGTTGGGGCATAGTTGCCCTATTAAGGAGAGAAGGGGAGGGCTAATATGTTTTCTAGGCCCAGCATACAATGATGGACAATTACCCAGTGCTTTAAACAGACTATTCCTATCTGGAAATGGAGAATATTCTCATTTTGTTTAGTATTAAAATACATTACTTAAAGTAACACCACACACACAGTATGTCTCAAGTGATCCAATAATTGCAAGTATTTTTTGAGATTATGGATACTGAGATTGAGAGACTACTGCATTGGTATTGCAAAACAACCATTTTTTTTACATTGGTTTAGATATGGAGTACAATAAATGTTGGTTGTACAGATGTTTATGGAAACTTCCATATTTCAACTCTGAATGTTCCTAGCTCCTTGGATCAAAAACTAATCTCTAGAGCACATTACAAGGCACATATACATTTTGCACATTGTTCTTAAGACTTAAGTATTTGCATTGATCAGCCACAACCTTAATACCACGGATAGGTGACGTAAGTAACATTAACTATATTGTTACAATGGCACCTGTCAAGGGGTTGGATATATCAGGCAGCCCTGTGAACATCCAGTTCTTAACTTTCATGTGTTAGAAGCAAGAAAAATGGCCAACCAAAAATGATCAGGGTAACTTTGACAAGGGCAAAAAAATGATGGCTAGACGACGAGTCAGAGCATCTCCAAAACGACAAGTCTTGTGGGATGTTCCCAGGATGCAGTGGCTAGTACCTACCAAAAGCAGTGTAAGGAAGGACAACCGATGAACTGGTGTCACGATCATGGTTACCTGAGTTCAAGTGATCTTTTTACTGTTAAATCATTACAGCAGCACTGTCTTCCCCCCCTTAAAATGACTGTTTCAAAAAGATAGAATCTTTATGAATACTAATATTATTGAGTGGGTTTAAATTTCACTGAAATGCAGTGACTTTGGCTCCTGGCGCTGAAGCGGACCAATGGGAAGAGATGGCGGCGGCCGTGTAGGACAGGTTCAGGTAAGTATAACTCACTTTTACCTGCCCCCCTGACTGTTGGGGATCTTGGCAAACTCTGCAAAGCCCCCGGACAGTGACAGTGCCTCTTTAACTAGGCTGCTATAAAAAGTGTTCTCAAATCCTCTACATTTGTAAATTAAAGGGACACTAACCACCATAGTTCATTGTAGTTGTTATAGTGCAACAAGTATAAGGACTTTGTTCTTGAATATCTGCCCAACTGTTTTTGAGTAGTTTCAATGCAATCAGGGCTTCCTCTTCCCCTGGCGCTCTTAGTCTATCACTGCCATTCAAGATTATGGATTCTCACTGATAATGCAATAGAGTTATTTTAAGTGCAGATGCACAGGAAAACCACAGTTAGAAAAACAGTTTGCTTTAAAAAAAAAAAAAAAAAAAAAAGGGGGCGACGACTGTGTAGCACCCTAACAATTATAATGAACTGTAGTGGTGATGGTGCTTTACACAAAGCTGTAAAATATCAGACAGGAATGGTTCACACAGTGGATATTGTTTTAGCTAGATTATTATTTTTGTCCACAAATTGGTTAATTACAATATGTGTACACTTACCATGGATCGAGCATAGTGCATTTGTTACCAGATTCTCCCAGACCAAAAATGCTCAGGAAATGAAAGAAGACAAAATGGTGGAAGCCAACACAAATTTGGCATATTAGTTTATTTTCTAGCAGTACTGCAGTTCTCAGAACTGAATGGCAAACTGTATCATGCTTATGGCAATGGGTTCTCAAAGCTTATCTGTGTTCTTTCTGTTTGCAACAGAGGAAAACAGCTTGTGTCCTTTATAGGCTTCAGGCAGGCCTACACAATCGTGTGGCTCTATGATCTAATAAAAGGAAATTTAATACAGTAACTGTTACAACCCACGAGCTTGTTGTGCCCATTAGACCCGAGCTGTGAACCCCTGGCCTATAAGCTTCTCTGCTAACACAGTGAGGCTCAGATCTACCTTGTGATGCAGATCTTTTTCTCTGGTTGGCACAAAAATACTAAACATTACAGACTTTGCAGAAATTGAGTGATAAACTTTGCATCAAATAGGTGTTTAAAACCAGCAAAAACAAAATGGTAGGGAGTGAAAGGTGCTTAATATATTTTAGTTTAAAATAGAACTGTACAATTTGGCAGTATTTTTCTCTTTAAATCTCTAAAACACTTCAAGCAAGGAAAGCAAAAACAGACAGTCGGGTAGACCATGAATAAAAACAATAGTGCATAAAAATTTGCAGTTTATCTTGGAAAACATGAACGTAACAGCTTTGGCAAGGGAATATCTTTCCTTATATTTACATTTATATATTCTTATTTAAATTTTTTCTTTTCTGCTAACTTGGGCTGAGCGCAAAACAGTTATGGGACTTTATCCCCTGATAATGAAAGTGTGGTTTTTTTTTTGTATTGGAATTTTTAGCACTGAAGATGACCTCAGAGGAAGCAGATGTAAGATCCATGAAATAGACTTCTTGGTAAGTTGAATAACATGAATAGCAATGTAACTGTGGGAGTGCCACCAGTGCTGACAATAATATACTGTCCATCAAGACTAAGTCTACAAGAAGCTCTAGAAATTACATTTGTTTGCCACGTGAACACACAAAACACTAGTCACTCTTTTAAAGCAGGTGCTGCTTGGGGTTTTAAGATCTCCGGAAGGTGAAAAAAACAAAAACACATAAAATGTTGAATAGCAGACAGCCTGCACCTAACTGAGCCACGGTGTTTTATAAAAATTGGACAAAGGGTCAGAGGAAAAAACTACACATACGTGAACATACACAACTCTATGTTTTGAATGGAGTACAAGTCCTTGCTTATAGTTGCTGAATTGCATATGAATATTACGTTGATGAAGGCTACCTATTTTGAATTTTTGGGGGGGATCTTGACTTGCTCATTAGATATGCAACAATGATCATTCCAGGACTTTATGAAACTCTGAGAAGCCTTTGCTCCATATGCAGCAGTTGGCCTTGCGATGCATCTTCTGAGTGTCCATTGAGATGTAAACAAGTGGTATGGTTTCTTCTGTTGAGTTGTGGTTCTGCCCAGTCTCCAATGACTAAAATGGCTGAGGTCTGATATGTGAGAAACTTGTTAAGTCTAGTGAAAAACTAGGTTTAAGAAACCATTATCCAGATGAAGGCAAGAGGGTGGTAGTCTGCTAGCTAAGGAATGGTGTCCACCAGGGAAGTAGAAGTGTCTTCTCTTGAAACCACTGTCACCACCCAACCCTTTCTTAGAGGCATGTACTGGAAGATGGTGATGCATGTGGCGTTCATGCAGCAGGAGGATTAGAAACCCAAAATAATTTAGGGTGACCCTGAGGTGAGCGTAGGCAAGGAGACAGGGCGAGCATGCACGCAGAACAAAGAGTGACCAGGTGTGAAAGGGCACTTAAGAGTTCAAACCAGACAGTGACAAATCAAGAGGTAATGCATGGGACAAGTCATGTGAGAGGTGGCAGGTATGGAGAAAGCATGGGAAGGGAAAAAGCAGTGTTGCACAGGTTCTCTCCTCTCTAAAGCAAGGGGAAGTCTACTATTAGCTCTGCTATGAAGCCAGCTTGCCAAAAATCACCGTCCTGTCCAACAAGTTGAAAGCTAGACAAGCTCCAAGATAAATTATCTGAATCTTGTTCAGAATGCCCAAACACTTATGCATATTGTCGGCATGTTTTTACACATACCTGTGTGTAGGTTTCAAACAGCTCCAAATAATTATTTTCACTCTTAGGGGGTTACCTTCTAATTAATAGAATGGACAACAGAATAAAAAAATTCAATAATAAGGGCAATAACAACTGAGTTATTATAAGGGCAATAACTCGGAGTAAGTTGCAAACTTTAAAAACTTGTTCATAAACCTCTGTGTACCTTAATACTTTCATAACATATATTTTAATGGAGCTGGTAAATTATTATATGAGCTGCACAGTTTTCACAAAATAGAGCATCAATCATAAAATAATTGTATTCTAATTCAGCCCTTACTACTTTTAAATTTAATTTGTAATTTTATAATGATATTACAATAGAACAGTATATAAAAGTTATTAGGAACTTTGCAATATCAAACTTTATATACTATGAGTTATTTTTTTTAATGAATGTGGTAATTAATAACTATGTGAAAAATAAATATAAAATAATAACAACAAATGGTTAAATAACTAATTTCATTTTGAGCTCTGCTAAATGAAGATAATAGTTCAAAGTATATTTAAGGCTATTTGACCCAAGTGGGATGTCACCAATTATGGTGTTTAGAGAACCTGCGTAACATGTATAAGTTGCATGTCAGGAGCATGGAGAGAGTGGTGGAAAGCGGAGGCTGGTGGTGAAAGTGCGATTTGGACAGGTTCATTTAACTAACTTAAGTGCTCCTTTCTGCATAAGAGAGTCAGATTGTTGATTTGGGACTGCGTGTGGGGTGTACACAATCCTTCTCTATATAGCTCGCCCCGAAAGTCCTTGCACCAGCACACCTTTAGGAATCTGGAACATGAAAAACAACACACACACAAACAAAAACAAAAGGAAAAAACAAAACAAAAGTTTCATGTTAGAAAGTAAAATACCACAATCTGCCTGGTATACTTAACATGTTCCCATATATTTTTATGTATAACTTTCTGAGTGAAATACACACATACCATTAGAACCTCTGATAACAAACAAGTACAAGGCAGCATAAACTCAAAAGACTAAACAGTTACACCTGCTCAGGCCTTTCACAAAATCACATTAAAGAAAAATCTATCCTCAAAACAGCATAGCATATGGATTATTTTGTAATTAAATTCACTTGGCTTTTATAGGCTATGCACTAAAATGGGAATTAGGAAAAAATGACAATGGAATTGTAAGTCTCAGGCCAAAACAGCACAAATACAAAATGTTAAAGAATTTTACCAATTTGGTTATTTTCATTATAAACCTGCAATCTCCATCTGAACTCTTTACAATTCAGCTTTGTGAATATATTATTTTAACACATTATGTTTAACCAGAAAAGACATGTCAGTAATTATAATATAAAAAACATTAGGTATTAGATATTGGATTGGCTGAGTATCATGAGTGTTTACTGAAAAAAGAACACCACCTCAATCTGCCTACACTATTTCCCAAATGTGTTATTGATGTAACAAACCACAGAGATATGAAAAAAATAATGGAATTTATTTTTGAAAGAGAATTAAGAGCAACAGGCCCCTTTAAAAAAACCTAAAACAAAACAACAAAAAACATAAACCACAAACTTAATGAATTAATAATTGTTGCATATATGTGGTGAATGAATTATGGTTTAAAACACATTGTAAGAACAAAAAAAGTACAAGCCTTGCAAACCGTAAAACAAAAACATGCATTCTCTGTCACTTGTACATAAATCATTCTAACATGCTATAAAAGCTGATGACAAATGTTCCATGCAGAAGGAATGACAGCACACACGCATAAAAAATAAATATAAAAATGATCTAGAAATCAGGGAAATCCAAAACTGAAGGACCGCAGTTTGCCAGTCCTCCTATATATTTAAAACAATACGCCTCTGTCCATAGAGATTTTCTATCACTGCTGTGTAATATTGCACAATTCAGTGGTTAATTGTCATGTTAAAATATCATTATAAATAAATTTAATTTGTCTATGTGAATATAACCGCTGAAGGATCATTTGGAATATGTTAATAATCTGAGAGATTTCTGTTGAAGTCAGGCAGTGAAGGCCTCCTGTTGATACGGATTAGGATTAGGACTTGCAGCCGTGGCCGTTAAGATTGTGGAAAAATCTGCTACTAGATTAAGACCAACCTATATAATGCCACTGCAAGCATACTGCATCAGATTGGTTCAAAATCACTGTCATGGTTTCCAGTAGATTACCCTACCTCAATAACAGACATTAAAAAAAAAAAAAAAAAAAGCAAAACTGATGTGCAGTGATTCAGGTGAAGTTAACCAACCCGTACAGCTATTTATTATTGGGGCCCTTTGTGTATATGGCCTATTCCATGTATCACCAGGTGAAAGGACAGTCCAAGCAGGCCCCCATATGTAATGGCTGGTCAAGATTTGTAAGTGCACAAAAATAAATGGTGAACCACATTTTGATACTCCTGAGATATGATCTACAACACTCTTGGAGAACAAATAAATGCCACTCTGCCTCCTGTAAGGCTGGTCAATAATTATGTGAACTTTAGTGCAAAATCAGCCGGAGGCTGGCATTATACAACCCTGCTAAAGAGGCTTTAAGGGTTGAAAGATATGGACGTTAGTTAGGTGCAAGTTGAAGTCCGGCACAATTCGCGGTCCATTAAGGAAATGACTAAAACTAAATCTTTTTGAAACATGGGCATTTAGGAGTTGTTTCTTTATATAGCTGAATGCAAACACTAGGTCACTTAGATGGCCAAAAGGAGAGAGATAGCTAAGAGATTGCAAATGGCAACAGTGCACGTGTTTCTTTTCCGTATCCCCAATGCCAGTGACTAAGCTAATAGATGCCAGTCGCTGCTTCCCTCCCGCAGAAACAGTGTGGAAAGATAGAGTTAGATGTAAGTCATGGCACCTTTGGCATTTCTGTCCAAATAAACTTCAATATAGGATGTTGGAACGTAACCCTCCTCATCTTCGTTCCTACGGATTCGCGTCCAGCCATCACCTTTGTCTTCTTCAATGACGTTCAATACTTCACCTTCTGCTACAGATATGGTTCCTTCATTTTCACCTAGCAAGATAAGGTCAAAGTCAGTTCTTAATGGAAAAATGATTGAGACAGGCATCCCCTTTACTCGTGTTATTTACCAAAAGAATCAAGAAATAACAGCAAAAAAATACTCTGAAAAAATATTATTCATCATGGACAACAGTTATCCCATTCCAGACATGAACAGCGTGCCTAAAAGGAAGTCATGGTCTACACCCTGTCCTGTGCACTTTATTTTAATATTATACAAAAATCATAATTGGGCAATGCTCACACACACTACTGGTGGCAGGAAAGGAAGTTTGTGGAGTAATCATCTTTTATAGAACCAGTATCTCTGTTTTCTCGCTACACAAGTAATTCTGAGTCTTCGCTATGGATTTAAAGGGAGAATCCAGGTAAACTTTACAACCAATTATTATGATTTATGAAGATATTATATTAAAAGGAACTTGCCTGTGACAATTCAAAGCTGACAAGAGGGTTACTCTAACTACCATTACTACTTCAGGGATTTAAAATAATAATGGTGGTATAAGCTCTGTTCCAGGCTGCATAATATCAATTCTGTGCATTTTTAACGTCTGTTGTCGGCGCGCTGACAAAAGACATAAAAATCTTTTGCAAGGGGAAGACTGCTTATCCCTTCCTCCCTCCAGACGCCCTTTGTTGCTCATATAATTCCCTCCCTCCCCTCTCCCTTCATCGGTTCCGCTTGTATGCATGTGCTCTGAGCTGGCAAAAAACTCCAATCATAGGCTTCTTTATGGGAAGCTTGTGATTGGACCATGCGCGGACCACTGTGATGTCAGATGGAAGAGGGAGAGGGATATCAGCGCCGGGAGTTTCACTGCAGGGGGGAAGAGGGGGCTTACAAGCACTTCTAAAATAGGTAATTGTTAGGCTAAAGAGGTTGTGAAAAAGGGTTATAGTAATCCTTTAAAAGAATTCTTTCCACTTCAGCTATTTTGACCTTAAAGAAACACTGTAGGCACTATATTAATTTAATCTTATTGAAGCTGTTAGTGTTTTTTGTCCTACCCCCTACAATGTAATCTTTTAATAGTTTTGAGATTTGAAGAGCGGCTTTAAGTCATGCCTCCAACTACTATGGGATGGAGGCCTGGGACTGTTACTTACGGCTCTCATACCGAGACATGCTGTGATGCCATGTGCACGTGCAGTGTCGTCACGGTCTGTCATAGAGAATCATTGCATGCAATGATTCTCTAATGCAGAATCATAGGCGCACTGCAGCAAGCGCTGTATGTAGAATATTACATATTAAGGTGTGGCTGTCTAATGGGTTAAAAAGAACAGATGGTGTTTGCTATTCTGTACCATGAGGACTCTGGAATGTACTGTATAAGGAGATTGGGGGTAGGGTCCTTATATGGGGAGTTTTGCTATGTGGCCAGAGTCTAAATTAAAAGTTATGACGCAATTTTGCCTATAAAGGACGGAGGACAAAGGACCACGCTCTCTCTTGCTCCTACGATCCACTCTCCTGGTGTGTTCCTGACTTGTTGATATTAAGACGGCTACTTAAGATCTCTCACTCTCTTTAACAACGTTAAGAAATACCATCTGTATAATAAAGTATATTATTGTTTGCTTTTGAAGTAGAATAAATGCATTTTTTTTTTTATAAAGAATGTCAGATTGCGTTTTAGTACTTTTTGGTTAATATAGATGTATATTAAACTGGCGGGCTTTCAACCAAAGAAGATATATCTATATATAAAAGACTTATCCAACTGAGAAAAAACAGACCAGTTACTACGCTGTACATGTGTCTACGGTCTCCTGTGCTCCTCCACAAGAAGCATGGAAATGGACTGTGATACTGGAGGCACAACTCCAGGATGACGTCACTCATGGAAGACTGGTGGCAGAGCCAAGGGAGATTCGAGGCTGGAGAGAAGGTCAGCAAAATATTTCACTCTTATTGTGCATGGAGGGGGGAATTTGAAACCAAATGGGGACAGGGATACTATAGCGTTAGGAATACAGATTTGTATTCCTAATGCTAAAGTGTTCCTTTAAATTTAAAACGCCTTTTAGTAATTCACTTTTTCTGACTTGCCCTTCTCTGTCTGTAACTCATCTGTCTCAGAAATCTCTTTACATGCCAACCCCGATCCTCCTACAGCTCTCTATGGGAATACTGAATTTTTCTGCTGGGAATGCTGAGTAAATACTTTTTGGCTTTCATTTATGAAAAACAAAAAGTTTTTTTTCAAGTGATATCTAACCTTTGCAAAGCAGATGTCTGATAAAATAAATTAATTTCTCATGATACTCACTCAACCTATACATGAAGCTAAACTAGCTGAATATCATGAAATAAAATAATTTTTGAGCATCTGCTTTAATAAAGTAAACAATTACTGCATTCTTGCAACCTAGGGGCTTGGCGCTTCCTTTCATTCCAGGGTTGTCAATCTCTGGCACTGTCAGATAATTATAGGAGTAGCAGTCCAACAGCAGCTTGGGACAGGACAGGAAAGAGTCTAGCTCAGCAGGTCAACAAATTCAGTGTGTAAATCTTTACCATAATAATCCTCAATGACAAAACTATGACCCTGGCTTTAATGGAAACATTTTGTGAACCCAGAAGGAAGCCAGCATGACATTCCTATTGTCTTCTTCAGAATTTTGCAGACATGACATTGAACTTAATGGCACCGTAAGGTTTCATAATTATCACAACATGAGAATCATCATAACAAAAGTAAAAAATTGGGATAGTTAATTATACTTCGGTCATCTGTTTTTGTATTGCATGATAGTGGCATGATGAGTAACCAATAATTACATTGTGAATGTGAAAGTGAGGAAGGTTCTGACAATACAGCATGGTCCTGTGCTAGAAAGTAACACAAACAAAAAAAATTAAGAATACATTGATACCAAAGGAGGAATACGAAATTACCACTGAAGGGATACAGGGCTTTACACGTTCCTATCGTAGGAAGGGGCTCCTCATCATCAAAATCGTCATCGAACTCTGTGGGGGTGACCTTCACTTCTGTCTCCTGGCTCTGATCTTCCGTGTAACTGCCATCTGGGCTGCTCAAGAGATAAAGCAATACAACCACTATAGCAACATACTCCAGGACTGGTCACTTGTACATATATTGTGTCTTGATCAGTCCATTTCACAATAAGTGCATGTTTTGAACAGCACATTACTACATTCAGTCTGAATAGTTGGAACGAAAAAACTGAAAGAATAACAAATTATCTGGACTGCACAAGCAGCCACATAATTGTTTTATTTTTCTTTTTACTTAAGGTGTGAATTCACAAACATCTTCAGTATTACAAAATCCAAAACAAAAAAAAGTAGTATCCACACTGTACAATATTTAGCAAAATATCTATAAAGATGCAGAAATAAAATAACACTCATGTTGCATAACAACCAATTTAATAATAATAAAAGTACATTTTGTTATATGGAAATAATGCTATGTGTATTACATGTAAATCAACATGCATGACAGTTTAAACAGAAGACTGGCCACAATGCTTCCAGTGTATTTGTGCAATGAACATTACTGGGGGTGGAGAAGTAAGCCCAGTAGGTGCAACTCTCCCCCAGTAGTACATTCTCTGAGACATCAGGGGCAATAGACACATCATGAATTCCTGAACTGAAATATGAAATCCAGAGGGAAACATCCAAGATATGTTTTCATGGCACTACGGTTCTTCCACTGCTTGTGTTTAAAGAATAACCAAGTTATGATATGTGGAGGGTGTGGATACAAGAAAAGTCCTTTTAAACCCAGAATAATTTATAAATTCAGTCTGAAATTACATTTATAAAATAATGTGTTTCAGGGCAGTAGTGTTTACAATTTTTTTGCCGCAACCCTTGCATTAATGGCAACGTGGCAAACTTAGCCTGCCATTACAAAACATATGTTCTATAAACTCTGGGGACACTGATCCTACATGTATTTATAGCTATTCATGCAATGTCAGCAGAATAACAATGCTATTCAGAAAGGCTTCCCTCACATATACTATACTGTACCTCTCTCGGTCTTGAGCACAGTTATTAGCCGTTGTTGTGTTTTGGGTTTCATAGAGCCCACTCTGCCGGCGAGAGTTATCGTTCCGCACAGGAAGCCTTCCTTCTACTTCTGCCAGCCAGCCCTGCAAAGAGATCTGAGTGTACTGCACAGTGCCAACTTCACAGAACAGCTCTCAAGAGAATGCCAATAAAGACCCACTCAGTTTTAGTTTTTAATTGCTTTATGTAATGAAAGAGAAGTAATGTAAGCTAGTAGAGGGAAAAAAAAACATCCTTCACAAGGTTACTCAAGCAAGCCTTGACTATTCACTGGTTGCTCTTACAATACTTTAGTGTAACTAATGTTACACTCTCTGAATGGCTGGTGATATTTTGTTATTAGCAATTGTATAGCATCAACATATTCATCAGCATTTTACAATTATATAATGGGGATATTAGAAATAAAAAGGCCTTGCTCAAAAAGATCTTACAATCTATGAGGATTTGAGGTAGGTGTATATATGTTGCTAGGTGTCTTGCCCATGGACACTTACTAATAAGGTGGTCTGACTAGGATTTGACCACCACCTATCACACCTCTGAATAGTCCAAGAAAGTGTGCAGATACCGACAGCAGACCAAAAAGGGCAACCTTAGGCTGCATTATATAGGGATGTGAATTCAACAAGTAATAAAATAAATTGTACATCTGCTACAATGATGACTGAAAAGATTGGTTTTAAAAGTAAATGTTTTACAGTTCTACTTACATGGCTTCTAATTAGCAATGGGAGCAATTTATCTAAAGGAATAATAAACCAAGCAGTTTTATCTGATTCTCTGTATCATATAGCAACATTTGGGGCTTCAGAAAACCACGCAGACGAGACATTATGCTCAAGTGGCAGAACGGGAAGAATAAAAACATAAGCCCTTCTTAGAAAACCATTGCTAATAGGATAACATGCATGATATTAAGCTAAGAATCATAGTTATATAAATGTCCACAATTCCTCACCTCGAATTTCTGAACCTCAAAACGCAATTTTTCAATGTTGTGTCCAATTTCTGCCAGCTTCTGACCCACACTGGCAGCGTCTCCCATCTGTGGGTTTTTCGTGTACACATCTTTCATTTTCGTTAAGGCATCTCTGTCAGTTAGAATTGAGACTGTAAGTATATGTTCAAGGATCTACTTTTCTCTATTTAGTGGAACCCAAAATCTAGCTTTCCTATTAGTGATTGCTAGGAAAAACAACATTTCAGTAGACAAAGAAAAAAAAATATCTCATGAGTACACTAAAAAATATATAGTATGATGTAATCAGGAAGCGTATATTCAGCTTTTAGCTAGTATAAGGCAGCATCTCATCCTGGGATGTTACCACCCAAATTAGAGCAGCACTGTCACCGTCTGTGGACTTCGCAGAATTTGCCGCCTTGGGGAAAAGTTATTTCTACTTACCTGAACCTGTCCCTCGCAGGTACCGCCATCATCTTCTGCAGGCAATCTTCAGCTCTTGATGCTTCAGCGCCAGGATCCATCGTCACTGCTGTACTCTCACACATGCATCCCAGATACTCTACAGACAGAGCCAAATCCCTGCAGTCATCACTGGTGATGGCTGTTGGGATTGACATTGTAGCTCTGCCCATTTTCTAATAATGTCAGGTGTAGGAAAAATACACAAGATAAAATAGTCGCTACTTTGTCTTATGTTTTTAGTTAGAAATAAATTAAAAATGAAAAAAAAAAAAAAAGACAGAAGTAAAAAGGAAGAAACAACAAAGCAAATTGGAAACGGTAAGTACAGCATTACAGTGCCACCCTTAAGGACCAAACTTCTGGAATAAAAGGGAATCATGACATGTCACACATCATGTGTCCTTGAAGGGTTAATGGTGATACTTGTATTGATTAAAGATGAAATGCTGAACCAACCTTGATGTGGGACCAGCACTCACGCTGTGCTACTGTTGGTTCAACCTACAGTACTCCACTTAAGGTCCCCACGTAATCAAAGCAAACAACCATCAAGAAGACCATTATGACTGAAATGTTGCAGGCTACATTGTTTTGAAGATGGATTAAATACACATTTAAATATTTTTGAAATTACTGCCTTATTACACTTTGACCTTGGTAGGAACAGAAATGACTCTGAAAATCGACACAGCTTTAAGACTGGCACCTTGACTTTAACCCCTTAAGGACACATGACATGTGTGACATGTCATGATTCCCTTTTATTCCAGAAGTTTGGTCCTTAAGGGGTTAAAGAAGAAATTAAACTTCATCCAAGATCCATCCAACGTGAACAGCTCTCCCCAGCTTTGGAAAAAGCTCAAGACACGGACACACGCATCCATAATCAGCAGCTATGGAGATCATTACACACTGTTTCACTAACATACCTGGCTGCCGTCAGTTTACTGAGCAGTTATACTCATCAGATTAGATTGGAATGGTGCCTGGATAATGCTTATCCTACAAACCACTGCATGGCTGGCGTTTATGGAATAAGAAAACCAGAGGCTCCTGATCTGTGGTGCTTCTTCCTAGTCTAGGAATGTACTTTTTTAAATTTAAATTTACTATATTTCTGCATTAACATGCTGATAATAATAACTAATAATAAAAAACATAATCAGTGGGACATCATCATTGGTTTCTGCATTTAAAATTGCAGTAGTGCTTGAAGGTTACTGCAAGAATGAAGTTTGGTTTAAATTCATTCATTCATTTCTTACCTCTGGTCAATCTCTTTCTGGATATCTTTGTTAAGCTCATCCACCTTTTGTTGTAGTTTTTTTCGCCTTTGCTCTGGAGGGAGGTTGCTGAAGTCCTCAGGAGTGGCCCCCTGGTGGAAACCAAAACACTGCATTGTCATGTTTACTATCAGTTCTTACCGCATGCAATAGCTATGAGCATGCACCACATGCCAAATTAAAAGGAACAACACACGGACAGCCATAATCTCTGATAGGATATGATTTCTCCATCAAGAGAGAGCCTCTCACCAGAATGATAAAATTAAGAACTGTCCAAAGTTTACATTGGGTGGTCAGGACTACAATGCTTCAGTGGGCTAGGATTTTATAGAAACAGAATTTCACCTGCATATCTGGTTGCACAGTCCTGACATAGAATGTTTTTATTTCAGTCTCATTAATGTTCTGTGCAAGTCTGAATGATATGCATTTCTATGAACATATGCAAGTCCTCTTTCCGACGATTGGTTAGTAACTGAATATATCAGTAGTTTGATGCAGTCTGAAGCAAGCAGATTGATCAGATAAGGCCTCATTGGAGAAAACTCCTCTTCATTACTATGTGGGATGATATTTTTATTATCATAATCATATTTGATTAAATATGCTCCATATTATGATCACTCGCATTTACAGGAGAAGAAGCTAAACTTTATTCAAAGGACATACCAGGGAACTGTGTAATAAGCAAACATCATACAACATGTATGGTATGTGGACCTGAGAGGTAACCATTTAAAGGGGAACTGTCGCTTATATATTTTTTTCATATTGCTTGCTTATCTCTATGTTTAACAAATACTACATCTGTGAGGTGTGAAAAATTAAATGTAGAAATTCACACTACTTTATCCTGCAACTGTATGCCTCCATCTTAAAGGGACACTTTAGTCACCAGAACAACTACATCTTATTGAATTTGTTCTGGTGAGTAGAATCATTACCTCCAGGCTTTTTGCTGTAAACACTGTCTTTTCAGAGAAAATGCAGTGTTTACATTACAGCCTAGTGATAACTTCACTGGCCACTCCTCCGATGGCTGTTAGAGATCCTTCCTGGGTCATGGCTGCCTAAAATTCCTCCAAACATTCAGTATCTCCACCCTCTGCATGCAGACACTGAACTTTCCTCATAGAGATTAATTGATTTAATTCATCTCTATGAGGAAATGCTGATTGGATTGGCTGTTTGAATCATGCTGGCTCTGCCCCTAATCTGCCTCTTTGTCAGTCTCAGCCAATCCTATGCGGAAGCACTGTGATTGGATCAGGCCACCATTTCTGCTGATGTCAGCACAATGCTTGTTTTTCTGAGTCAAAGAGCATGCAGAGTTACAGTGTCAGGCTTAAATACAGTAAGATTTTGCTATATTTATGGAGGCAAGAGGGGCCCAGGGGGGCTAGATTGTGGTTTTAACACTATAGGGTCAGGAATACATGTTTCGGTTTCTGACCCTATAGTGATCCTTTAACTCCCTGTCAGTCATTGTTCTAAGCAGTAGTCTTCGCACTTGGCAGTTAGCATAGAGAAAGAATACCAATAACAGGAGAAAACAACGTTTCTATTTGTCCTCCTCATTTGCAATAATAGCCCTGGCTCAACTGATATGTGATGGATTTCGCAATATAAACTGGAACAGCACATGGGAAAAAAAAATTGTTCGCAAATTCTAGGTGATTATCCATTAATCTACACAGAAGGACAGTTCTCCTTTTATAGTAGATAGGTAAACAGCACCCAAGCTTTACCAACATCTAAATAATTTAGGAATCTGAAATTTATTTTCTGTGATTTATTCCAACAAATAAACTGCATTGGTGAGTAGATATTACTATATAGTTCTACCCCTTAAGGACACATGACGTGTGACATGTCATGATTCCCTTTTATTCCAGAAGTTTGGTCCTTAAGGGTTAAATAAACTAAGCTATTACACATATTCACGTTTTGTTTGGAAAGATAATTTCCCTTTAATTTAGCAAGTACAATACCAAAGCAATTAGTATTGCATTTGCTTGTTATCTCCTTTTTAAACACAAGGTGGCACCCTAGGGAAACATATCGGTCTCAATGAAAAATGCAAAATAATGGACCCATCCTAAAAGCATACTTATCCAATTCTCTGCTCAATGGAAATCAATAAGCCATAGAAAGAGCTCTAAAGAACCAAATGTTATATTTCTTTTAATATCCTTTACTTACAGTACAGTTTTGCTTCTACAGATGCCAAGAAATGACTGCAGACAATGTAGATAAAATGGAGTGGACCTTGAAAATGAGCAGACTAATAATGTTCATGTCTGCTACAATATATGGTTGGCAGTTGAGAGCAACAATCAGAAATGTAATACATACGTTTAGTAAGAAGCATGGGATTTGCCGAACAGTAGATTTCCACTGGCTTAGTCTCCACCTGGAATATTTTAGTTATCTACCTGGGGTAGATTAGTTTTTGACGTTTAATGAAATATAACATTATTAAATAAAACTACCCAACTGCTACATGACAAACACGATCACTAGACTGGGCTATAATGGTCAATTCTCACATTGTTAAGGGCCTAAGCGCAACTCAAAACAGGGGGCAAGTTACAAAATAGAATTGCTTATAAATATTCAGTTCCCTTTTTTAGCTTGCAGTGAATTTGGCATTATTTCACTGTGGCAGCTACTAGATTTGAAAAGGTATGTACCAGAGTTGATAAATGTCACAGGGCAAAATTAGTCATCAACACTTCCTAATCAAATCAATGTGGTTTGCTGTATGGTAAAATGAAAGCAGACACAGTCACTTGGGAATGATAAGGTATGGCCACATTAACTTCAATATATTATGTGCACAATATCTGGAAAGAATGCTCTACATTTTAAACTTACTTTATTGCACATTGTGTTTCATTTAGAATCTCTTCCCTTCTGCTCTGTTAATAACCTGCTACAGCCTGCAGGAGTCTCATGTGTAATTCAAGTTCAATTAGTGAAGGACCTAAAAACTTCTAAAGTAAACACATTGTGCTGTAAGATCTGATTGAAATAATATTTTCATGTAGGCTTTGTGAGTCACAGCCAGGAAAGGTGTGGATACGGTTGCATACTTTGAAACAAAAGTGATTTTTATTCTAAATGGCAGAGAATTGAGAAGTAAGACTGAAAGGGAATGATCTATACACCAAAAACGGCTTATGTAAAGTGAATCTGTCACCACCCCTCTTCAAAATTAGTAACTCATAAATATAAAATCTTTATACTTTGTCTTACTATTTTTCCTACACTTGACAAAAAGGCAGAATGAAGCCTTGTCAAGCCCCCAGACGTCACTACTGATGGCTGAAGATAAAAGCATTCACACCTTTCATAGACCTCAGTGTTGTACTCCTACCAGCAGAAGAGCCAGTAGTTGAAGAGAACCAGACGGAAGTGCAAGGAAGTGCCCACAAACGACAGTTCCATGTAAGTATAACTCACCTTTCCCTTCCAGCTGTACACCAAACGGCAATGTCCCCATTGGGAATCTTTGCGACTTATGCAAAGACCCTAGATGGTGACAGAGACACTTTAAACTAAAATTGTTCCGGTGTTTAAAGTATCCCTTTAAAGTGAGCCATCAGTATTTTAGTGGAATGCAGATGTTATCTTGACTTTGTCATCTAGTCCCTGTAAATTTCTTTGATATAAGTCTGCAATAAATGTCATTTGAAACTGGATAGGTAAGCATTTCCTAAGCAACACTGCATTCTATTTCAAAGACTGGGAAACTTTCTAAGTGGTTTTGAATTGAGAAGTTGATCTACTGCTGGGCGTTCTCTTCCCTGCTTCAAATAGAAGCCATCAATACATATTTCTAACTGTATAATCTAATAACAGAGGACAAGAGACCATAATGTATCCTGTTAAGATCTTCAGGCACAGTATATTACCAACCCTGGGTTTATATTACACATTACAGCTTCCTTGTGATTCCTCAAGGAGTCAATCTACACAGCAGTCCTTAGAAAGCCGTCATCAGAAGTTAAAATCATAACTATTTGGCTGGCTTAGGGTCTACATCAATTTAACAAAGCTTGCTCTACAGGACAATATCAATTCTGGAGCAGCTCAGACAACCTTTTTTTTGAGAGAGAGAAAAAACAAAAAACAAATTCTGCATGCAGTTCACAAAAACAGACTGTGACGGCAGATAAGAACTGCTTGGTCCAACTATTCTTCCCAATATTTTCTCAATACTTTCATTATTCCCTGGCCTTATCTTATAGCTAGGGTAGCATTTAGCCTATCCCATGCATGCTTAAAACTCCCTCACTGTGTTAACCTCTACCACTTCAGCTGGAAGGCTATTCCATGAATCCACTACTCTATCTGTAAAGTAATACTTACTGAAATTATTTTGAAACCTTTGCCCCTCTAATTTGAGACTATGTCCTCTTTTTGTGGTAGTTTTCCATCTTTTAAATATAGACTCCTCCGTTGTTTCACTTCATCCAATCATTTTTGAGCAGAAAAAGGTTAACATAGCTGAAATTCATTACTTGGACACAGTTTACAAATGGTTTATCAACAGGGGAACTGGATATCAAATTAGACAACTTATTAAATCTATGCTGTTCTTTTCATGTTTATTTCCCAATTTTAAGTGCTGCAAATTTTAGGTGGCCTGTGTGTGATCCAGACGTTGCTTTTTTTATTCTTCATAAATGTTGAAGGAATTAGGAGAAAATACCACATATGTAAGTTATATTCTTTCTCTGCCAGGTTTATGCCTAATCAGCTGGAGGTGCAAACTGACAGTACAGCTTTTGTTGATACCCATGGAGCTAATCAAACTATTCACTGATAGAAGCTCTCTATCTTATCCAATCAATATGATAAATATAGTTAGAATCTTTATTTGTTGTGAAACCGTTTGAGCCTGTTCCTTATGAAATCTTTTCAACTTTCTACATTGTGCTGACAAAATGCCCTACAAATATATTGAGTACTCCATTAAGAATTAAATGTTACACTTTACCATTATCACAATTTGCCTACTGAGCACTTGCAGTTCTATTCAGCTCGCAGTTATTGCTTGTGTTAGTCATTTCATTCTAAAACAGGATCGTGGAGGACATTTTGATATGATGGAATAGATTCATATACCCTTGCCTTTGTCATGTCTTCCTCTAGGTAGGAATAAACCAGTCCTAGTACATCGTTGAAACTAAATTATTGGGACCTCCCTTTTATTAGGGAACAGGTGACTGAATACTCACCAGAGAACACAATTTAATCTATTCTGATATCTATCTATGAAGCAATGGGAGAGGATGGGGAGGCAGCAATTGCCACACTGTACCAATCAGCGTCTCTTCATAGGGGATGCATTATGCCAATTCATCGATATGGCGAGTGTTCAGTGTATATATGCTGAGCGAGAGGATAACCAATTCTGGTCATTGCAGGAACACATAAAGAAGCACCTCTAGTGAAAATCAGTAAAGGTGTTCTTTGGGACAAATATAAACACTGCCTATTCACAAAAAAACTAAAAACTGGTAAAAAAATAAAACTGTAGAGACAGGCTCTTAACACCAAAACATTAACCTGAAGTGGTTCTGATGCTTAGTGACCCTTTAATCTTAGATTAATAGAAAGACAAATGGTGCTCAGTTTGGTAACCATTAATATAAATTGTTACTGAAAGTTTAAAGAGACACTATAGTCACCAGAAACACTACAGCTTAAAGGGGCAGAACCAGCGCCGACAGACCCGTGCAGCGCTGGAAATATGGTGAGTTTTATACTTTTATAAGGGGGCAAGCCACCTAAATGGTGGGTTTGTGTTCCTGACCCTATAGTGATCCTTTAATGTGTTGTTTCTAGAAAAGTTGCAGAGCCATTTTTTTTCCAAGGTGTTACATGTTTGTGTTAGTGTCAGTTATTAAACCAGTAAGAGTTTGGTTAAATGGAAAAAACCCACACAATAAAAAAAAAACACTACAGGTAATAATAATTTTAATTTCTAAGTTGATTAAGAAAACGTGAAACTCTTGGACATTTCTTTAGAACTGGCAAAAAAAGAAGGTTATATGATTTAGAAGCAGTGGTCAAATAATTACATAAGTAAAATGTCAAGCCACAACACGAGGGATGGGAAAACCAAACAAGGAAAAAAGAGAAAAAAAGCACACAACGCTTAAAAAAAATGCATGCAGTTGTAGGGACAAAGCACAAGAGATGTTATCAGAGGCACAACCGTCTGAAAAATGAGAAATAAGAATATCTGAACGACTCAAAGTGAATACGTTTATCTATATAATTAATAAATAAAAAAGAAATACACAAAAAGACTTCTGGAGAATAAAATATATTATAGAATAATTATAAGTAAAGCGGCGAGGGGCAGGGGAGATTAATAAACTATAATAATGAATGGAAAAAAAAAACAACAGACCAGGTTGTGCCTCAAGATAAACTAGAGAACAACAGTCAAGGTGTGCATGCCGAAACAGTTCTTACCAGCTTCAGAGAAAGCTTCATGGTATAATTGTAGGATCAGGGAAATGAAAAGAAAGCAGAGAGAAAGAAAAAGAAGAAAATAAAAAAAGTAAAGAAAAAAAGAGCAGATCAGCAAAAGGTGAATGCTTTGTTTCCAGTGTTAGGAGCTATGAGCATTTCAACAGAATATACTAACTGGGTGAGAAAAATGTAACATAAAGCAGAACCTGTGCAAAAGTTCACAAGGTCAGGAGTCCGCAATGCCAAAATAATCAGAAAAAAAATGCTTTTTGGCTGGTCTGTGAAGTGGATGTTGATTTGGTATATTATGCTTAACAGAGATCTGTCTGTTGTACTAAGATAGTAGGGACAGCAATAGACCGTGTTATTAGAGTATGTTGTTTTAGCTGGACACATTGTTCGTTTTAACATACCCCTTTCAGAAAGATTCACTATACATAAAGTAAACAAGGGTTTTTGTTCAGGAGAACGGAATTTTCAGAATTACACATTCATACAAGTTAGTAGCACTCATGACGCCCATCATGCTAGGATATTTCAATGTTATCGGGTCAGATATAGTGATTAGTACACTAAAATGTACTAAACAGTGAATTGTGAAGAACACTATTTATCCAGTTCAGCTATTCTGGCCTAACAATATTTAGTGAAAAAACCCAAAGGACTTTGTTACCTCTTTTGTGACGTGCTCAAAATTATACAGCCATTTGAAACCCTATCACTGAAACAGATTGCTTACTAACACCAAGGACACTAGATATATCTGAAGTCTAATGTGAACAACTAAAATACTTTGAAGCATTATTTAGCAAATCAAGTCACAAACCTGATGCAAAACCCATAACAAGTTGAGTATCATGCAGTCATATTTCCTAGTAAGACGACCCAGGCAAATGACGGCTAACCTTGTCACAGAAGTGTTCCTGACTTGCACTAATCAAGATGCTCAGCACGCCTAAAAGCTGGCTATGATTGTTGGACATGCATTTCAGAAACATCTGTGTGGAACAGTGAGCCATTACTGCCTTAGGGAAACATGAATTGTTAAAGAACACCAAGGCAGACAGGTGGCCAGGTTTGCATGTTAGTTTTGTTTATCTCTCACACGCCTATATTCTAGCTACTTTTTCTAAAGTAGAATTTCTAGCTCCAGGTGTAAATCCAGCATGATATACTTTATAATTATAAAACTTGCAATCTATCAACGCTAGGACAAGGCTGTCTACAAATCTCAAGTGCATGGGATCCTTAATGTACAAATATAAGGGTTTGACATCAATAATAAGGTTTTGGCCTACTCCTCAAGCTCATCATTCTTTACGCCATACAGCTAATTTCTGAACATATCAGCTTCACAATACGTGTGTAAAAATCTATTCAGTGTTGAGACAGGTGATTAGAAAGGTATAATCAGGGTAGAATGAAAAGAACAATTATTAATTATTCATTTGGAAAGATCGTTTTGTAATCCCTTGCCTTAGCAAATTTGTCCCTGGCTCTTTTTAAACTAAACAGCAGTGCAAAGAAAAATAAAGAAAGAAAAGGGGAAGGGGGGGTTAAAAACTCATATCACAAAATAATCCATAATTTCATCAGTAATTATGCTAGCCAATGAAAGAAGACAGCAAGGTAACTTCACATGAATTTGCAGAGATATTTGGCGTTTGAGATCTACCAAGAGATGCTATTTGTAATCCTAGAATCTATTTATATTAGTCTTTAACAAGTTTTCAATTTTAAATTTAAGGCCAGAGTAGCTGGAAAGCATAGCGGAGGATATTTTTTCCAGTTTGGCTATTTTGACTTTTTTTAAATTCACTTTGAATTCTCACTTTAGTGAATAACCCTGATAATCATTTTTGAGCTTAAAGGATAACTCCAAGCTCCAGGACCGCTTCAGTGATTTGAAGTGGTCATGGTGCCATGGTCTGTATATGCAGCGTTTTGCTATAAAAAAAAAAACTTTGCACATACCAAAATTAACCCATCTAGTGCTGGAAGTGTAACTTCAACTCCAACAGCATCAATGGCTGCACCACCTTCCCGGCCCCCACTGTAATTCCTCCCATCCCTTCCCCTCTGGGCTACAGGAAGATCTTGGCCTCTTGCTGGAAGGTATGTTTTATCTATTTTGGTTATTCTTATAGGAAAGGGTTAATCTGACCAAAAGGAGTGTTTTCTTAAACTGTTTTTTTTGTAGTAATAACAGAATACAATGAAGTCTGAGATGGTTTTAAAAACTTGTATTTTGTGAAATAGGGTGCTGAATCATAAAAAAAAAAAAGTATGTGCTAAATATAATAAATGGTGATTATTTTGTATTACTATTATTAACCAGTAATGCAAACAGATGAAAGGGATATAATGAATGTGTCAGGAAAGACAAGATGGTTAATTAAGCCACTTTTTGCATCACATGAGTTATAGCTGAGCATGATATGCTTCCTGGTTAAACCAATGATAAGGGAGTTAATTCAAATCATTCTGTTACTGGCCATGTCTGTTGTGCAATGCTGGGTAAATAGGCTGCTATCATTTTAGCAGACACTGGGGTAAATCAGCCGTGCATCCCGATATGGCTACAGGCCCTGCTTGACCTTCCCGTGCTACCGCCATTGTGTGTCTGGAATAGTGCTCTGCTATAAAAAGCAGGGCGAGTGACAGATGGCAACCAGCTACTGCAGTGAGAGCCAGAGAAGAATACAAAATACGCATACACAGCTCTAATCACTAGAGCACATGCTACTGCTATAAACTGGAGGGTAATGCTTCCAGCACCCAGCTTATGACCTTTATTTCAGAGCAAGACACATTTTGTCAGAGTCACTACAGATGTTTAAACTGCAATTGAATAAATACTTACAAAAACATAACATACAGGGATATAATTTCTAATTAATGGGGTAATAGCTGCTTGATCCAAGGATACATCTGACTGCTATTTTGGGGTCAAGAAGGAATTTTTTCCTAGTTTGTGACAAAATTGGAAGCGCTTCAGATTAGGTTTTTTGCCTTCTTTTGGATCAACAGCAACAACATATGTGAGGAAGGCTGAACTTGATGGACGCAAGTCTCTTTTCAGCTATGTAACTATGTAACATCAACTCGCTGCATTAAAACATCTGAGACAGGAACTAGTTTAACCAGACAGGCTATGTTGAAGACTATGATGGCTTTTTTTATTGTTAAAACAGAAATGACAGAAAATAACTGATCAAGCCCATGTTTTTAATTATAAATGGCACAGTTATAATTATTGATTTTATGTCATGCTCAGGACAGCTGTGCATCTACTACATCAAACCTTTGCTGGAGAGAATTAATATTTTCCATAGCTTCTTGTTCTGGCTATTCTTTTCCTGTCGAAAATGCAGCCCCTTTTGTTAAAATGTACTGGTCACGCTACTTATACAGCATAGACTTTAATGTATCCATTGTTTTTACATAACTGCTGACAACTGGATACATACTATACATACATGGAGTGCAGAATTATTAGGCAAGTTGTATTTTTGAGGATTAATTTTATTATTGAACAACAACCATGTTCTCAATGAACCCAAAAAACTCATTAATATCAAAGCTGAATATTTTTGGAAGTAGTTTTTAGTTTGTTTTTAGTTATAGCTATGTTAGGGGGATATCTGTGTGTGCAGGTGACTATTACTGTGCATAATTATTAGGCAACTTAACAAAAAACAAATATATACCCATTTCAATTATTTATTATTACCAGTGAAACCAATATAACATCTCAACATTCACAAATATACATTTCTGACATTCAAAAACAAAACAAAAACAAATCAATGACCAATATAGCCACCTTTCTTTGCAAGGACACTCAAAAGCCTGCCATCCATGGATTCTGTCAGTGTTTTGATCTGTTCACCATCAACATTGCGTGCAGCAGCAACCACAGCCTCCCAGACACTGTTCAGAGAGGTGTACTGTTTTCCCTCCTTGTAAATCTCACATTTGATGATGGACCACAGGTTCTCAATGGGGTTCAGATCAGGTGAACAAGGAGGCCATGTCATTAGATTTTCTTCTTTTATACCCTTTCTTGCCAGCCACGCTGTGGAGTACTTGGACGCGTGTGATGGAGCATTGTCCTGCATGAAAATCATGTTTTTCTTGAAGGATGCAGACTTCTTCCTGTACCACTGCTTGAAGAAGGTGTCTTCCAGGAACTGGCAGTAGGACTGGGAGTTGAGCTTGACTCCATCCTCAACCCGAAAAGGCCCCACAAGCTCATCTTTGATGATACCAGCCCAAACCAGTACTCCACCTCCACCTTGCTGGCGTCTGAGTCGGACTGGAGCTCTCTGCCCTTTACCAATCCAGCCACGGGCCCATCCATCTGGCCCATCAAGACTCACTCTCATTTCATCAGTCCATAAAACCTTAGAAAAATCAGTCTTGAGATATTTCTTGGCCCAGTCTTGACGTTTCAGCTTGTGTGTCTTGTTCAGTGGTGGTCGTCTTTCAGCCTTTCTTACCTTGGCCATGTCTCTGAGTATTGCACACCTTGTGCTTTTGGGCACTCCAGTGATGTTGCAGCTCTGAAATATGGCCAAACTGGTGGCAAGTGGCATTGTGGCAGCTGCACGCTTGACTTTTCTCAGTTCATGGGCAGTTATTTTGCGCCTTGGTTTTTCCACACGCTTCTTGCAACCCTGTTGACTATTTTGAATGAAACGCTTGATTGTTCGATGATCACGCTTCAGAAGCTTTGCAATTTTAAGAGTGCTGCATCCCTCTGCAAGATATCTCACAATTTTTTACTTTTCTGAGCCTGTCAAGTCCTTCTTTTGACCCATTTTGCCAAAGGAAAGGAAGTTGCCTAATAATTATGCACACCTGATATAGGGTGTTGATGTCATTAGACCACACCTCTTCTCATTACAGAGATACACATCACCTAATATGCTTAATTGGTAGTAGGCTTTCGAGCCTATACAGCTTGGAGTAAGACAACATGCATAAAGAGGATGATGTGGTCAAAATACTCATTTGCCTAATAATTCTGCACTCCCTGTATAAACCCTAAACTACAAGCATCCAAATTTCATTAACGTATTAAATTCAATCTAAACACAGGGCCGGTGCAAGGATTTCTGACAACACAGGCGAAGATGCGTTTTGCCGCCCCTCCTCCCCCCAAAAAATGCATCTTCACCTGTGTGTCATGTAACCCCCCCTTTTAAATTTCTTACCCCCTTCAGTGTTTTTATCCTATCATTCGAATATCTTACTCCCTTTTTCTCCTTTGTGTGTCTTACACCTGCTTTGCTGTGTTTTATCTCCTTGTGTTTCTCTTACAACCCATTTGTGTATTTTTTACTTACTCCAGCCCCTTTGTCTGTCTCTTTCTTCTCCCCAGCTCCTTTGTGTGGCTCTTTCTCCCCCAAAGTCCCTTTGTACGTCTCTTTCTCCCCACAACCCTTCTGTCTGTCTATGTGTCCTCCCTCAGCCCCTCTGTGTGTCTCTTTGCCCCCCCGTGTGCATTCAGCCTCTATGAGTTTCTCTTTTTGCCCCCCAGCATTCCTGTCCCTTTCAATGTCCCCCTCCCCCTATACCTTTCATTGTCCCACCTCCCCTCCTGTGTCTTTAAATGTCCCCCACCTTTTATTGCCTCCCCTGAACCTATTATCCCCCTCCCCTCCTGTACCTTTTATAGCCCCCCCTCCTGTAACTCTTCTTGTTCCCCCCCTCCTGTAACTCTTCTTGTCCCCCCTCCTGTAACTCTTCTTGTCCTCTCTCCTGTAACTCTTCTTGTCCTCCCTCCTGTAACTTTTATTGTCCCCCCTAACTCTTTTTGTCCCCCACCTCCTGTAACTAACTTTTATTGTCCCCCTCTCCTGTAACTCTTCTTGTCCTCCCTCCTGTAACTTTTATTGTTCCCCTCTCCTGTAACTTTTATTGTTCCCCCCTCCTGTAACTTTTATTGTTCCCCTCTCCTGTAACTCTTCTTGTCCTCCCTCCTGTAACTTTTTATTGTCCCCTCTAACTCTCTTCTTGTCCCCCACCTCCTGTAACTCTTCTTGTCCCCCACCTCCTGTAACTGTAACTTTTATTGTCCCCCACTCCCCTCTTACCTTCCATTGTGCCTCCTTCTGCTCTCTCCATGCAGCGTGGTTGAGCGGGCGGTACGCGGCAGAGGATCCTGTTTCCTGTCCCAGTCTGAGAGGAAGCAGTGTGTTGCATCTCCTGTCAGACCGGGTAAACCGCGGCCCGCCCGCTCGGCAACTCTACACGCAATGACCGGAAGGAGGGGAGCACTATGCAGTGTGCTCTCCTCCTGCCAGTCACCCAAGGATTGCGCCCCCCAGGCCAGTGCGCCCTAAGGCGGCCGCTTGTGCCGCCTTATGGTAGCGCCGGCCCTGGGTGCTACTAGGCAGCAATGTAAACACTGCATTTTCTCCGAAAAGGCAGTGTTCACATTGAGAGGCCTGCAGTTACAGGATATAGACACCAAAACCACTACATTAAGCTGTAGTTGTTCTGGTGACTATAGTGTCCCTTTAAGAATTGTGTTTTTCTCGTTGAAAATTAAGCTTGTTTTAAAAAAACAAACAAAAAAAAAAAAAACCTGCCTCCTAGATTCCAAGCAAATTTGTCAAACCCTGATGTAAAGTGCTTGTGCTTTTAAGGAAAAAACAAAAAACTCCACACTCATGAGTCTAATTTCCAATAGGAAGTGTTGATTCATCTACCTAGAAATGAACTACACACTACAGCGTGCCTTTTTAAAGGCACTAAATGAACATCAGCTTGATGAAACCGTTTTAGTGTGTAGATCATGCACCTGAAGTCTCACTGCTCAATTCTTTGCCATTTAGTTCTCTGTTAATAGACCCTGGAGCCTCCTGTGTTTGCTTAACCCCTTAAGGACACATGACATGTGTGACATGTCATGATTCCTTTTATTCCAGAAGTTTGGTCCTTTTTTTTTTTTTTTTTAAATATATATATATATATATATATATATATATATATTTTTTTTTTTTGCAGTGCATTTCAAAATTGACATACAGGCGTGAGGTACCCCAACGGCATTCCTCGTGCTTTGGCGAAACATCTGTAACAGTGGGGTATTCTTAAAGGACCACTATAGTGCCAGGAAAACATACACATTTTCCTGGCACTATAGTGCCGTGAGGGTGCCACCACCCTCATGGACCCTCTCCCGCTGGCTCTGAAAAGGGGGAAAGGGGTTAAACTTACCTTTTTCCAGCGCTGGGCGGGGAGCTCTCCTCCTCCGATCCTCCTTCTCTCCTCCCCGTCGGCTGAATGCGCATTCAGCCGGTCACATAGGAAAGCATTTTCAATGCTTTCCTATGGACGCTGGCGTGCTCTCACTGTGAAAATCACAGTGAGAAACGCAAGCGCCTCTAGCGGCTGTCAATGAGACAGCCACTGAAATAGGAAGGGCTTAACCCATTGATAAACATAGCAGTTTCTCTGAAACTGCTATGTTTATAAAAAAAAATGGGTTAACCCTAGCTGGACCAGGCACCCAGACCACTTCATTAAGCTGAAGTGGTCTGGGTGCCTAGAGTGGTCCTTTAAGTACTTGCACAAATTTTATTATTAAATAACAGATTAAAGGACCACTCTAGGCACCCAGACCACTTCAGCTTAAATGAAGTGGTCTGGGTGCCAGGTCCCTTTAGGATTAACCCTTTTTTTTTTTTTTTTTTTTAAATAGCAGTTTCAGTGAAACTGCTATGTTTATAAATGGGTTAATCCAGCCTCTAAAGCCTCTAGTGGCTGTCTCATTGCATTCTGAATGCTTTCCTATGAGACTGGCTGGCTGAATGTGCGCGCATGCGCATTCAGCCGAAGAGGAGGATCGGAGGCGGAGAGGAGAGCTCCCCGCCCGGCGCTGGCAAAAAGGTAAGTTTAACCCCTTTCCTTGCCATCCAGCCCAGCGGGAGTGGGACCCTGAGGGTGGGGGCACCCTCAGGGTACTATAGTGCCAGGAAAACAAGTGTGTTTTCCTGGCACTATAGTGGTCCTTTAATAAAACATGCTGACGTTTAGCTAAGAAGTTTGGTCCTTAAGGGGTTAAAGGTAAATTTACAGAGCAGGAGATAAAAAAACATATAAAGCAAGTTAACGTCTGATTAAAAAGGAAACTTTTTTTTTTCCAGCAGGCTGTGTCGGTCACAGTCGGGGAAGGTGTGTCTAGGGCTGCATAAACAGAATCAAAAGTGATTTAACTAAATAGCTCCAGCAGGATTCAGTGGAAACTTGTTCAGGGGGACCCCACTGCTTCATGAAGCTGTCAAATGCTGAGAATTTTTTCATTGGAAGCGTAGTGATTGTCACGCACGTCAAGTAGGTCACCTTACTATTGCTTCTATATGATAAGCATTTAAATGGACCAGAGATCAGAGTGGTTGCTTAGCACTGGATGAACAGAAGGCAAAACCAGCTTTTTTTATTTAAATGATTTCATGAACTAAATCTCCTAAGAAACAATATTAAAATTAAAAATAAATGGTTCTTTTTAAAGTTAGTGTTATTATAATTATTGGTTTTTATATTGCGCAAGCTTATTCCGCAGCGCTTTACAATAAAAGGGGAATTTACCAAATGAGACAATAACAAAATGTAACCGGAACAATAGGTAGTTGAGGACCCTGCTCAAACCAGCTTACAGTGTTCCTTGAATCTACCTATCCAGCTCACACAGTCCATGTTGATATCAGTAATGCTAATGTTACTAATATAACTTCTGTCTATTTTACCAGAATCAGCACGGCTTGCTGCTAGTTTCTAAGAAAAAATCTTTGGCAGGAGCGGCTCAGATTCTCCTGAAAGGAGCAGAGAGGTTGTCCAAGTCAGTAGCCGAATATCAGGAGAACAAGAGACAGAGAGACTTCAACTCCGAGCTGTTGAGGTTACGGCAGCACTGGAAGCTAAGAAAACTCGGAGACAAAATCCTGGGAGATTTGAGTTATAGGAGTGCAGGTTAGTTCTGTTATGTTTTAGCCTTGTAACACCCAACAATGAGTATAAATGGGAGGCCATGGTATGCATCCATACCCTAAGCCTTTTATACGTGTTTCTTCCAGTTTCTGATAACTTGCACATAAAATGAATTTTGGCTTTTAACTCCGTCATTGTGTAACACTTTAATATTTATAATGCCCATTACAGAAAGATTGATTACAATTTGTGCTATCTATGTCTGCATTTACAGATTACGTTTCTGGATATAAAAGTATTCTGGTTGTCTTTCTTTTTTTTGCAAGTAGTTTGAAAGTGATGGGATTAATTCTGCAATGCTTTTTTTTTTTAATGTTTATGCATTCCAGAACATACATTAAAATTCACGAAATCCCAATATACTCCTGGTGAAATACAATTTTGAACAAAGTACACAACAGTTATATGAGTTGATTCCTTTGTAGGATGCTACTGCCATTTAGTTTTAACACCTCCACAGCAAAGCCATTCAATATAATCCACAACAGAGGGATATAGGCACAATGCTAATCAATTGTGTACACATGTCCCAACACTGGGGAAGGGAATCATCCAGGTCCACAAATCATACATCAAGGCCCAGTGCTTTTTATTGAACTTTTCTTTCTTGTTTCAGGGTCACTCTTTCCTCACCACGGTACCTTTGAAGTTATAAAGAACACAGATCTAGATTTGGATAAAAAAGTCCCTGAAGATTACTGCCCACTGGATGTGCATATCCCCAGTGATTTGGAAGGATCTGCCTATCTGAAGGTTTGCATTGAACTCTAAAACATATCTTAAATGTTCTTTTAGTAAATGACTGTGAATGTGAAGATGATAGTTGTTAAAGAGTCACTCCAGGCACCTCCATATGTATGGCAGTGCCCGGTACAGCTGCGCGATTTCATCCAGTGGGCAGCTGGTAAAAGGCTGAGATAAACTGAGTCTGTCATCGGCCTAGCCGTGCAAAACCTTCCCCATTCTGCATGAGCAAAGAGGAAGAAAGCTAAGGACTGCTGTGTCAGGCACTAAAGGACCAATTTTGTGGGTTAAACAACTGAAAAACAGTTAAAGGACAACCGTCATCAAATTCTCACTTCTCATTTTTTTAAAGTGAATTTAAGGAGTTAATGAAACAATTATGTTTATTTGTATTTTCGATTATCTAGCTGAGCAGTCACGTTGGGTCATATTCTGTTATCTGACCAACTTGTGCTCAACCTAACATGCCTACTCGTCGGCACAGACCAGTGACAGCATTGTCTTGTTTGCACTTCATGACCTCAATAAGCAGCCCTGTCTGTCTGTGTGTATCTGCCTGCTCTCTTATCTTCAGCCCTCCCTGAACATTTAACAAGGACATCTACGTTATCGGTTATATCTGTTCCCAATCTGGTCCCTTCTACCACAGACAGACTGAGAACAAACGTGCAGGCAGCAACCATTGCAGGAGTTCTCTGGGACTATATGTAATCCGGGCACTTTCACTGGCAACTCTGCAGCTATGAACTCTCTCTGCTCCTGTCACTTCTGAAAATGTATAACCTTAACTTTGTTTGAGTTGCTGAGGGTGTCACTCCCCTATTTTCTCTCAAACAGAAAGTAAAGGTTATACCAGAATGACCCTTTTTAAGTGAGCCAAAAACAGAATTCATTAGTACGACCAAAAAACACATTAGCTTGCCTTTTGAGTATTAGCTCAGTCTGCCATTTCAGAGGCACCCAGTTATATCTTTGACCTATCAAACTGATACAACACACATGGGTATTTCAGAATAAATGCTGAATGGCCCTCAATGCATTAGAGATGCAGCAAACCTTTAGACAATTCTTCTGCATTTTCAAGTTGTGGGTGACTTTGCTGCCCCATGATGCCTTCGGCCTGCTTATCTATAAAAGTGCATTTGTATGCATGCACCCTATTGAGATGGCATTACATCTTAATCTACAGGCTGCGCTTTATGTACATGACGAGTAAATTAAAGGACCACTCTAGGCACCCAGACCACTTCAGCTTAATGAAGTGGTCTGGGTGCCAGGTCCTTCTAGGGTTAACCCATTTTTTCATAATTATAGCGGTTTCAGAGAAACTGCTATAATTATGAATGGGTTAAGCCTTCCCCCTAATCCTCTAGTGGCTGTCTCATTGACAGCCACTGGAGGCGCTTGCGTGCTTCTCACTGTGAAAATCACGGTGAGAGCACGCCAGCGTCCATAGGAAAGCATTGTAAATGCTTTCCTATGAGACCGGCTGAATCGAGCAGCTCTTGCCTTGCGCTGCATTCAGCGTGCAGCGGAGGAGGAGGAGGAGAGCTCTCCGTGGCGCTGGAAAAAGGTAAGTTTAAACCCCTTTCCCCCTTCCAGAGCCGGGCGGGAGGGGGTCCCTGAGGGTGGGGGCACCCTCAGGGCACTATAGTGCCAGGAAAACGAGTATGTTTTCCTGGCACTATAGTGGTCCTTTAAGTAAGCTAACAAATGAGATTTAAAAAAAAAAAAAAAAACAAAGTATGACCAATAGCTGATTTTTTTTTTTTTTTTGTAATCTTTTTTTCTTGTAGAAAAATCTCATTAGTGACAGTGCCTCTTTAACTCCTCTCCCTTCAGAACTCTGTGACATGGTTAACATTAAAGAAATACATTTTTCAAAATAGATTAATGTTGTTCGAACCAGATTTGTACAGTATTGCGCAAATAGTATCCTTGCCTGAATATAGCAATTTCTCTTGATAATGCATCTACTGAACAGCTGAGTGCCTCTTTAATTGGAAATAAATGTGTTCTAGTATCACATATAATCTGATTCTTCTTTTTAGGTTTCCATTCAGAAGCAATGTGCAGATATTGGTGACCTCGGAACAATTAATCTTTTTAAGCGACCTCTGCCAAAGGCAAAACCAGGTAAGCTTGTGCAGGTCAGACATATATTTCCCTTGGGTCGGTTATATTTGTTTATTCAAATGCTATTTTAATATATTACATGTTTGGTCTCTCTCTTTTACTCTGTTTTCCCTTGGAATTGGTTTACAAAACTATATGAAGGTGTTCTGCAGATGCCCAGTATATGATATAGATGAAATGTAATACTCTCTGATTTAATACCAAATTCTGATTACCGTAACAGATACACCTCCATCCAGGAGACTAATGTAGAAACATAAAAGAAGTCTCCATAGTAAAAACATATTTCATAAAATCTTCATGGCAGTCTGACTGGGTTTGTAGTTAAAGCATTTACAACAGTTACATTTAAGGCAGTTGTTTTTCTTTGTGAGTTTGCAGAGTTCTTAGAGCCGAGGGACCTGCCAGCATTCTCCAAGCTGTCTTTTCAGCCTTTTTATATGCCTTTATATCTCTGTGGCCTGGAAACGAACTGGTCATGATCAACGAATTGCTGGATGCCAAGTGTAAAAGTCTAGTCAGATGCATATAATGTGGGAAGTGTCTTTCTGTTTTTAAACCTCTTTACTCACTTGTTCCAGGAACCCCACATTGGCAGACCAGGCTGGAAGCTGCACAGAATGTTCTTCTGTGTAAAGAAATATTTGCACAGTTGTCTCGTGAAGCCGTTCAGATCAAATCCCAAATCCCTCACATTGTTGTCAAGAATCAAATAATCTCCCAGCCTTTTCCAGGTAAGAAACCTTTACATTGGTTACTTGTGGTTCTTAAAATTGGTTTCACTGTCATGCTTCAGATATAGATAACTTACGATATGCCATGGTCCTCCAATGATTATGTGCTTTGTTTATAAACCATTGCGAGGGGCAGTTTACTTGACTCATCGATAAAAGACCATCTATCAGTATTGTTGTTGTGGCATACAAGGCTGTCCTATAATAAATGTGTAATTCTCAGTGTATAGCCATGCTTTTAACCCCTTAAGGACCAAACTTCTGGAATAAAAGGGAATCATGACATGTCACACATGTCATGTGTCCTTAAGGGGTTAACTATGGCAGGCAAATTTCATCTTCCATTATTTTCCGAATTGCTTCTTAACCCCTTAACGCCGTTACGGCGTTCTATGCCGTCGCGGCTTTAATGAGCTTTAAAGCCGTTGCGGCGGCATAGAACGCCGTAACGGCTTTCAGCCCCAGAGGACCGGCGGTACTCACTTCCGCCGCTATCCTCTTCTGGAGGGCTGCCAGACCGCCCAGGCAGCCCTCCTGAATGAGGCCCCCAGGGGCTCTCAAAGAGCGATCACATGGCCCCCTATAGCTGGCTGTGGATCTGCCAGCAGGGGGACTGTCTGAAATATCACAGTCCCCCTGCTGGTGGAAAGTGTAAAAAAAATAAACATGTTAAAATAAAATATATATACACACACACACACACACACACACACACACACACACACACACACACACACACACATACACACACATATAACGTCATACGTAATGTATTTTAATATTAGTATAAGTATATATTAATATTAAAATACACTTAGAATGACGTTACATATAAATATAATAAATATATATATATATATATATATATATAATTACAATAATAAATTAAATAAATAAAATATTGAAACAAAATGTAATATAAATTATATATTCATATGTAATTTCATTCTAACTGTATTTTGTTATTAATATATATTGGTAACAAAATACACTTAGAATGACATTCTATATATATCTATCTATATATAAAATACAAATAACCGCAAATAAATATATAGAGATAAATACATATAATTACATAAAAGATTACATTAGTATACACGTAGAATTTAAATACCTATAAATGCATATATATTAAAATTCTACGTGTATATTTAGGTAATCTTTTAACATAATTATGTGATTTGATTAATTCAAATTTTATTGACATGCCTGACAACACAGGGAGAAAGTGCAGAGAATTTAATTTGCAAGCACTCTATTTGACCCTGTAACTCTCCAAGACTCCATTAAACCTGTACATATGGGGTACTGTTTTACTCGGGAGACTTCACTGAACTCAAATATTAGTGTTTAAAACTGGTAAATTGTATTACAACGATGATATTTTTAGTAGCCACTTAGTCACAAACACTGGCCAAATATTAGTTTTTTGCTTTTTTCACAAAAAATTATGAACGCTAACTTTGGCCAGTGTTTGTGACTAAGTGGCTGCTAAAAAAGACTAAACATACCCCACGTTCAATACCTTGAGTTGTCTACTTTTTCAAATGGTATGCCATTATGTGGGTAATTCTCATTCCTGGGCTGCCACACCGTCTCAAAGGTAACATTACTAATCTGGCAAATTTCAATGTGAAAATGGAACGTTCTATATTTGACCCTGTAACTTTCCAAAACACCATAAAACCTGTTAATGGAGGGTACTGTTGTACTCGTGAGACATCGCTGATTACAAATATGTGCATTTTTTTTGCAGTAAAACCTAACAGTATTATGACATTTACAGCTAAAATGTGAGGCGGAACTACAAATCTTTTAAAAAATTAAAATTTCTCACCGTTTTTTAAAATTTTATTCATAATAAATTCTGTTTCATATATAAATATTTGATATGAAATGAAAGCCCTGTTTCTCCTGAACAAAATGATATATAATAAGTGTGGGTGCATTTACTATGAAAGAGTTGAATTATGGTTGGACAGACATGTAGTGAAAATACGCCATTTGGTGCTAGTGTATATGCTTGACAGCCTAATCTGCTCTTGCCTGTGCCGGGCTCGGGCCCGTGAGGGCACTGTGTGCTGTAGCCATATTTGAGCGAGAGGGTAAAATACACTCTAAACAATTAAATCTACTATGAACACAAACTGGAATAAAATTGGGTTGAAAAGTTGGTCCTCGGGAGTTTGCACCCTGCAGTCACGGTGTTTCTGGCTCTGGGTTCCTCTCTCTCGGGGTGAATGGTGTGATGGAAGAGGGGCCCCATGAGGTCGCCTGGTGTTCAGAGGTTGAAGGTGCAGTCGGGTGTTCAAGACCCAGGGTACTCAAAAAAGTATGTGCATCTCCCAAATTCGGTAGCATATGTGTAGTCCCGTTTTGAGTCACTACTAAGGAGCTGTTCGCTCCCCAGCGGTAAGTGAGACCTGCGTTTCTCAGCTGGGTTGTAACAGGCCTATATCTTTTAGGGATCTGGAGGGTGGCCCTTGTAAGGTCCTGGAAGAATGTGAGGCTTGAATTCTCGAATGTGAGTGGTGCCTTATCTTTTATTGCCGCCATAATTTGGAGCTTATCAGGTAGCGTGACGCATCTGAGAATGACGTCTCGTGCCAAAGTTGTTGTGCAGTGAGTAGGGCTTGGAAGACGGTATACACTGTCTATGTTTATTCGTTTGGCCACAGTGTGAGACATGACTGTCAGCATTCTTCTAACGTAGTGTGACAGTTCTGCCACCGTGACCGCTGAGGGGATGCCCCTGATCTTGATATGTGTACGCCTCTGGCAGTCTTCAAGGGTAGCAAGTCTGAGTGACAGGATCTGGTTTTGGGCTTGAAGCTCTTGTATGGAGGTATCCACAGAGGTTAAGTGGGTTTGTACTGTTATTATTTCCTCCTCTGAGGTTCGCACTCTCTCAGTGACTGCCTGTACCTCCGTTTTAAGTAGTGCAGAATCCGCCGCCAGTAACTTGTGGATTTCTGCCAGAAGAAGTTTTAAATCCCTCTTTGTGGTGGGTGCTGAGTCATCTGGCTGTTCATGCTGCTCAGCTTGAGGGGTGTGTGGAGATTGTGAGCTTCCAGGTCTGTCATGGCCTGCTGGTGTGCCCATGTCCCTCACTTGTGTATCTTCCGCGGGAGTGGGTCTGAGTTGGGCGGGCCTCTGTAACATGGCCCCTATATCCCGACCCTCCGCCTGGTTTTGGGGCTTTTGAGAGCGCCTACCTTTGCCTGACATTGGTGCTGGTGAGGCTGGCGGTTTCTGGGGTTGCGGGTTGTCTGCTCCGCTCGCGGTAAGGCTTCCCAGGATTCCTTCCAGGCTGTGGAGCGCTCGGTAGGCCTCAGACCTGTGCTTCCTCCTCGTTGTTTTTGGTGCCTGGAAGAAAGGCATCAGTCGGTTCCTCTTGCCTTACTGGATTCGGTTCGTTGAGTGCCGTGGCTGGATTGTGTTTAGTATTGCCGATATCGGCAGAATTAGGTTTGTAGGCAGAGGAGCTTCTGGAAATGGCATCTGATCGGGTCCGTGGTTAAGCTCCGCCCCCCCAGTTAGAGCTTTTTAATGGGAATTAAAATCCAAAGGTGTCCAAAAGCAGAATCTTTCAAGGAAAACTACAGCCCGGTAGATAAAAGCAAAACATTTCACACCCCCTTCCACCAGCCCCAAATTGTCCCCAAGGATAGAATAAAGTCCCTTGTAGTTAAATCTTCGTTATTCCAACCAAAGCCAAAACAACAAAACTGTGTTTATAGCTTAGAGCCTATTAAAGGATTCCAAATGTCGTCTTTATCCTGTGACATTAAAAGGCGACAGCAGGCTGAGACATTATGCAGTTTCCCTGGTACCCATTGTGATGTTGTGTGGTCAAACATCCATCTTTTAATGTGCACAGACTGTTCTCTGGCTCCTCTGTCCATACTTCCTACATTTTGTCTTAAAGTCGTTTTGTATTCTGTGAGTGTCAGCAACAGACAAAACCCTTTGGTGTATACTGTATTTGTAGAGACTTGTGAACATTCTGTTCTTGTCATTCCTATATTTGGCCTTATTCACCATATTATGTACTGTGGATATGATGTTCAGTATAGCTATAGAATACTGTGTATGGACACATGTACACTGCATACTTAACACAAGTTAAGGACTAATACAGTTATTGTTCAGTATTTCCTGGAGATTCTGTGGATGTTCTACTCCTAATGACATTAAACTGACTCCTAAATGGATCTACTTGGCTCTTTTATTATTCAATCATTAGTTATATTGAGTAATCTCTACATTTACACTCCTTCAACATTTGCCCATATTTTGTGTTTGTTATGGATCACTTTGTCACTCTGGGATCAACCTAGTGCAAGCAGTTCAATAAATAGATTGATAACGAAAGAGACATATTTAAAAAGCAGAGTTTTTATGCATTTATTTGTGGTGCACAATGATCAATAAATGGGGATTTGAGAGGCAAGAAGAAAATCTAGTTTAAATGCATCAATGCCACATGTGCAGAAAATTTATGCAAAATTAGTATTTTAGAAAAGGAACATAAAAGACTGGATTCAAAACTGTATTTCTTGGAGCGTGTATTCACTGTTTGGGTACAATCCCCTTTCGTCATCTCCCATTTCCATAAAATGTGTATGGTGCTGACGTCGTTCAAGAACTGGGGCAGATATATTGGGGAATTACAGTTACTGCTACTTTAACAGTAAAAACAGGAACAAAATAAAAGGGATATCTCAAAAAAATGTGAAATCTAGTTTATTCGATCCTGGTAAAATTAAGCAAAGCGACAACATAACTGGGAACTTTAAGTAGAGAGATCTATCTCGAACTTTAAAAGTCAAGCAGTGGTTGCAGAGTTCATATGACCCGTATTCGACCAGTGGTGTCATGCATACATACCTCGTCGTACTAAGTGGCCGAGCAAATTGAAGTAACAACTAAATCCGGACGTAATGCTTTCAACATCCTAAAACTATTAAGTGAAAGCTTTCAGACTGAATGCAAACGCTATTTAACCATCAGTCTGCTTGACATCACCAAATGCAGAGACACATTTCTCCATCAATGGGAAATTAGTTGAAGATATTTTTATTTTATAATGTTTCCTCTGCCCATTTACATTTCTGTGATAGATATATGTGTCCAAAGAGACCTCCATCAGCATAGGTTCTAAATAGTTGTTTTGATACAGATCTGGCATCATCTTGGTGACTGACATACTTCTCTTGTAATGTAATTCCTATTGATTTAAATGCCCTAAAACATCTTGCTTAAACTATTCTCCAAAAATAATCTTTTTTTGAGTATAGCCAACCAGGAGAATGAAAAATGCAACCACTGTGGCCTTTCTGCCTTGTGAGTTCTCTGGAGTTCCAAGTCAATCGCTTTTTAAAATGTAAAATATATTTCATTGTATCAGATCAGCAGCTTGGCTGGAGATGTGGGTGAACAATTGCTGCCTCCACGTGCATCCTGGAAGTACACACAGAAATGCACACAGTTTATTTAATCTAGTCATTTCATTGTATAATGAAGACCATCACTTTAAAGTGTGCTTTGTAGCAAATCTTTAAGTGACTGAGGACTTCCAGACACCCCTTGTCCTGGCATGGAGTTCAATGGGAGCACAATTGTATCCCATAAAACTTTGCTCTGAAACAGCCATAGTAAGCTGTGTAGACCTGAGCAGTCATAAAACAGGGAGTATGCTAATTGCTTTTCACTAATGAAAAATATGAATGAGAACAGTTCTTAAACATAAAATCTGAACGAGTAGCTGTTGTGAATGAATAGGTGCGATTTTTATTTTTTATTTATTAATATGCCATGTCTGTCCCTTAAATTTATTAACTTTGTGAAGTTTAAATCTCTCTGCACACAGGATTACAGCTGTCAATCTCTTTCTGCCACTCGTCAAATGACAAGAAATCTCAGAAATCAGCTTCCGAAAAGGCTACCACAGAAGACCACCTGTATGTTCTTGAACACAATTTGCACCAGCTGATTCGAGAGGTATTGATCTCCATTCTACTTTATACTTCTTCTGGTAACACTTTATGAATTAACAAAATGGATTGTGTTGACCATTACTGTATATTTTATCATTTACTGTAAATAATGTAAATTATTAATCCAGAAAATCTAATTGACGGAGGACAAGCAAGCATTGTTATCATTATTTATTTCATTGTCTTTATTCTAGTTTCATAAACAGACGTTAAGCAACATAGTGATGCCACATCCAGCTAGTGCTCCGTTCGGTCACAAGAGAATGCGGTTGGCAGGTCCTCAATCTTTTGACAAGAATGACATCAGTGCAATGCAGCAGAATGAGGGTCTCCTGGAGAAGATCATCAAACAAGCTAAACACATATTCCTCAGACGAAGGTATAGAACCTCCGCCTTATCCATCCTTTATCATACAGGGCATTGGGATTGGACTGTAGCCTTCATTTTGTCCAATTTTAGTATATAGGTGGTTGTGGATGTTGTGAGTGAGTCTACTGGGGGTATCTTTGATAAACTAAATTTATAAATAGCAGTTACATTGTGGGTATGGTTAAGTTCTAAACATTCGTTAGCACTGATTGTATGCTTAGGTAGACACTGGCTGATTAAGTATGCTACCTATGAGCTGGACAGCTTTGTGCTTTGTTTGGATTCTACATTTCCTCCAATCCTCTGATGACTCTAGTAATAAAGTTTGTCTCTGGGATCCTTGTGGGTTAGAATTGCTCCTGGAGACTAACTGCGATTTTTGGCCCGCCCGCACTCTGAAGGAACATGGTGGAGCAGGGGACCCCCCGGGTGTACACATAGACGCCAAAGCCAGCTTCCTACCCGACCGTGAACCCGAAATCGACAGGTGAGGCCTGTTGCTCTCCTCGCTCGATAACCAGCGCGCAGACACCCACCGACTTTCCACCTCCTCCCCCTCCCCCCCATGGGACCGGTGGGGGATATCCCAGTCCCCACTGGGAGTCCAAAGTAACCTACCTTTGCCGAGCCCTGACCCAAAGCGATACACACACATCACCGGCACCGCTGTACGAGGAGCACGCAAGATGGCGGCAACATACTCCCCGGCTAAGCAGACCCAGCTCTCCAGCCACACAACCTGCCACAACAATGAAGCTGATATCGAGCAGCGGCTAAATAGGCTGTTCAACAAATTTTGGGAGAAAATCCAAAGCTGCAGGTGGGCACAACAGACAGCTCTGGAAACTGGTGAGAGAGGACTAGGGGAGCGAGGGGGTCATTCTCTGGCACCACACTAGATCACCCAGTAATCCAAACATGTCTGAGCCCACCTGAGCTGAAGGCCAAGAAGGTCCTGACCCGACAGTATCGCCCACACAGATGTAGGCCCAAGCGCCGCACGCGGCAGCCCACCATCAGGCCCCCTGCAACTCCCAAGAGAGGAGAAAACTCACGCTCAGGAAGCAGAAGAGTCTGTGGCCACAAGATGTAGGCCTACACATCAGCCTGGGGCTGGAGGGATACCTACACCCGCACCCCAGTGGTGCCGAGAACCCACAACCCACCAGAGGGATGCAGACGCCGGGCGAAAATGGGAATTGGGTGAGAGGGTAAACCATACACCAACGCTCCCATGCTGTGAACACCCTCACCTATGTGTTCCTGTACGTGACTTCCTACCAAGACGCCATATCTTGCCGTGACTGAGGAATATGGGACCCAGTACACTTTTCTTATGATTTGGGACCCGGACACCAGTGTCCTATCAAGCGTTACCTTAATTATGTCTATGTTTAATTCTATACTAGTTACGATTTTTCTCTAGCAACAGTGAGTAAGCACCATAAACATGCCTATATGACACTATACTAGAACTGCTAGCCTATATATACGTCTAAATACTACACACAGTGACAAGCTACCACGACTAACATTTAACCAGGCATAATTAACCTACAATCATTAACACACACACTTGGCAAATACATCTTACTGTTATTAACATATCTATACTCTGCTTTGCAACTCTAGCATACAATTGCAGCCAATCTAGATGTATAATGTTAGCCTGAACTTATAATATAAAACTGTGCATGCATTTCTCAATAACCCAATTTTTATCCAGGACGAATAGCATGAGGACTGCTGTTGGGGCACCTCAAGCGTGTTTGTAATGTCGTTATGCACTGCAAAAATACAAACAAAAAAAAGAATTGCTCCTGGTACACGTGAATTTCCATTTTGGCTGGTCAAAAAAAATAAAAATCATTCTACATATTTTTTTTATGTGCAGACTGATTTTCCTTAAAACACAAATACATTTCCAAGTTTTCACTCTGTTTAAATGAATTGCATGCCACTGTATGCACAGTGTAACCGTGATGTATGGGTGATTATGGGGAAAAAAAGCAATGGGAATAAAGTACTTAGAGCTCAAATGACAATTGAATTATAATTTTCTGCATTTCTTATAGAACTTCCCGCACCATTGACAGCCTTGCCAGTCGAATTGAAGATCCACAGATCCAAGCACATTGGTCAAGCATCAATGATGTGTACGAGTCCAGCGTGAAAGTCTTAATAACATCTCAAGGTTACGAGCAGATCTGCAAGTAAGTAATTCATATTTAACCTTGTTTCTGTTGGCAAATGTCCACAACAGCATTGGGATTAGCCCTTACTACCCTATCTTGCACCTGTTATGTGCCTTAGGTACATTATATCATGCTTTTTATATAATTTATTTTATTGCATTTTCATGTTTTCACTGTGTTCCAATTATTTATAGTCTCAAGAAAAAAAAGTGGTTTTGTTTGAAAACATTGTCCTTGCATGCTGTGTGATTCTCAAGTGTGGATTAGTTGCATTTTCTAATTGTATAATACATGTATTCTACATATACAGCATTAATTTGTAGGTGTCTTCCCGCCAGCATATGTCTGGTATTTACATATTTTATCATTTATTTCTCTAGGGGGGAAGCATTTCATATGCTTTAACTTTTTGTGCATTTGAAATTTTGATACTATTCCAAGATAGTTTGCAAGCTAGAAACTAAGTTCTAGACCCAAGACTGATAGAAAAGGACTGTATAAGGTGGAGAGGGATGGGTGAGGGAAAAGGATATGAGCTTGTGATCTTATATGTCTATATTCAGTTATGTATTGTACAATGGAACACTGTATACAGAATTATAAGGATAATGTATGTTATCTTTGTCATTTATATACTAAAACTAATAAAAAATATATTAAATAAAAAGAAACAAAGTTCTAACACTATTTGTTGATTTTTCAGTCGATTCCATTTTATTGAGCAATAAGTAGTTTGTTCCGTAAGCACTTGCAAAATTTATAAATTTATGCTTTTAAAAAAAAAAAAAAATTCATTACAATTTGATGTTTATTTAAAAGACCCATAAGGAATCTTGTTTCTCCTAACCTGTCTACTCTTTATGAAGTTTAACCCCTTCAGGACGGTTCAGGACCGTCCTCGGCATTTTTGTATTGCCAACCGAGGACGGTCCTGAACCGTTCTAATGGAAAACGGGTGGCGGGAGCGATCAGAGATCACTTCCGCCGAAATCCCGTTGTTACTATCTGCCCGGCATCCCAGGCAGATAGTAACAGCCAATTGCGGCATGTGAGCGATCCGCGATCGCTCACAATTGGCTGGTGTCAAAGTGGGTGTTACAAACACTCACTTTGACACTGATCTCTGCCTCTCTCCTCTGTAGCGTTTTGTGAGGGGAGAGAGACAGAGATTGTGATAGTTTGTTGCAGCAAGTGTTCCAGAGAGTATTAAAAAGTATCAGCAGTTAATAAAAAATCCCTTTTAACCCCTTCCCTGCCAGATCTGTTACAGACAGTACATTTGTACTGTCTGT